AGAGGAGTGCACAGTTCCAACTTGCTGTTTCTTAAGAACTGATTTCCTCTACCCGTTCTTTTTCTACCAAGAGCAGTTGCAATATCGCTACGAAACCACCTAGAATTCTCTGAAATATACGTCCTTTTAATAACAAAAAATTATAAATATTATAATCTTCCTTTGTCACAAAAACAATTAATCACTCTTAATCAGAAACCATTATATACATATTAGATTGGAACGTTTGTAAGACAAAATTAATTTAACTGAATAGATTCACAGATGGCCTTGATATTACGAGATAGAAATTGACGTAATTGTTTATTTCAATATTACGATGAAAATATTTTCGAATGTGAAAGGTCAAAGCGACGATAGGAAAAATTTAATTTGTAATATTATTCGAAATTTTTCGATTTGTCATTGTTCGTTGTTTCATGATTCAAGCGGAAATATTGAATCTTGAATCAATGTAATGAGAGAATGGAACTTTTCTCTCCCATACTGCGTCACGTGTAACTACTGAACTACTCGCGGCAGGAAGATAAATGCTTGTAAGGTTTATAAAATCGCGTGAGAGACCTCGTGAATCATATCAGTAAAAGAAAGAGCTATTGCATCAAAATGTGCTAATGCAATATTCTTTCTTCGAGTCATTTGATAAAATCATGTTTCTAGATAAAAAAAAACACATATGGCTTCTCAGAATCTTAGGAAAGATTAATAAATGTCGCATATAGATATGGTAGATAACACACATCGTCGACGATGTCCAATAATTTTGTACAAAATGTAATAACTCCTTATACGCAATTTTAAAAAGAAATCGAAAACTTGTAATACACTTTCAATGTTGATCTCAATATTACTGTTAGTTTATATCGACAAAATAATTTCAAAGGATTTAATCTACTTTTTCAAGCAAAATTTGGTCGTTCAACAAATGTATTTCATTATTCATATATATTATATTTTGATTATTTCAAATTAATGATTGTATCAAAATAATAGCATTCCATTCACATTTCTTTACGCTAAACAATATTTTGTAATATTCTGTAGATTCGCAGCCGACAATTGCACGGAAATAACTTTAAAAAGATTAATTTAATGAGTAGAGGCAATAATAACAGGGGGACTTGTTTTAAAATAATCTCTTATATTTTCTCTCAAATTCGGTAAAGATTCTATATTATATAAAGCGTGTCAAAACGTTGCGAATGCCAAAATGGGCATTTTTATGTTATTTGACACGTTTCATACAATCTATAGGCATGTGTGTGTATATGATACAATATTTAATACAATAATTTTTGCGTTTCTTAACGTACAAAAAAAGGATTGGTATCTCAATGCCTTTCTCTTGCACTCCTCAGACACCAAGATCATACATTTCCACTCTCGTTCTCCGATACTCTGCTATGGATACTCATACGTACACACACACACACACACACACACACACACACACACACACACACACACGCGCGCGCGCGCGCGCGCGCGCGCGCGCACGCACGCACGCTCTTTCTTTCTCTCTGTTTTTCTTCCATTCGTTTCCTCTCGATAAATCACAATGACGGATGTGGTCATTTTAGACAAAAGTTGATAATAATGAAAAAAAAGCGTGTCGTAAAATACAAAATTAATAATATTATCGTAATCGTTCGCAACATGAAAATACCGATAAACTGTTTGATTCTATGACTGTCGCGTCATTCTGAGCTGCCACACATCGAAGAAACCGTGTGCTTTCTATTTTTTTTCTTTCTCGATGTTGACCGTGTACGTACTAATAAACGCAAGATAATATGTCGATAAGCAACACAGCGTCAAATAATCGTGAAGTCCTCGGCTGTGCAAATTACATCGATTGCACGCAAGAGTGCGACGAGAGAAACAACATTTTTGTAAAGTATGTAATCGGGAAGGCATAGAGATGACGGCGCACACGAAGTTTCTTCGTGTCATTGCGATACAATAGAATAATAAATAAGGAATAGTTGAAATACTGATATTGCGCGTGAGGAGGCACTGGTACATTATTTCCGCACAATTTCGTACAAATACAATACAATAAATATATACGCTTCGTCAGCGAAAGATACTTGGTGACGCTTTTAATTCTCGATTTCCTCCTCACGCTAGAACCGTAAGGCACGAGTAATTCGAAGGCACCTGACAAATTTAGAGGCGCATTTGTTGTAAGTTGATTGTATCAAAATATAATTTTCGATATACTATATCATATGTATGTATATATGTATTTATAAGTGTATATGTAAGTATGTATATATGTATGTGTATCCTCTTTACATATTTCTATTTATATATATATATACATGTATATATATATATAAACTTTCTTTGTACACATACAATATGAACATTATGCATACAACATATTTACTTATGTGTCGTACGAACTATAAAACGCGGGGGCTCGCCCACGAGACTCCCCCTTTTATGCACTTAAAAAATATTGCTTGTATACGCTTTATGCCTCTCGTTAACAGACTCTTGTGGGCTATGGTGTGTACATGACGTACGTACTACACACGCAAATACAGACGCACCCGAACGCATTCGAATACACACATGCAGCACACAAAACACTCCGGTGTGACGACTTATTTTTCACGCGATCAAAAATTTTTTTCGTCAGTCATACAGCCCCTTATTATGTATGTATTATGGCATTATATAACTTATTATGGCTTACGATTACGCTAAATTTTTTTTATTGTACACTGCCGCCTTGACCACCATTATCGCGATCGTGAGCAAGGCATAAATCTATTTCCCTTATTTTATCTTTTGATCCTCGGACTTGGTTGGCGAATTGCTCTATAATAAAAGAGATATGTATCTTTACGCACAATAATAAATTAACGAGTTAAAAATTTTCATTGTGCATTTTTTAAAATACGAATCATATTAAGTAAGATAACATTAAGTAAAATTTATATATCTTTCTATTTAAACAGAGATATAAAAGACAAAAATATTTCTGATTGCATGATATGATATGTTGCACCACGAGATAGTAATTATAATTATCATGTCGTAAATTTATTCGTGAGACGATAAATTAGAGCTCGGTACGAAGCGATCGCACAGGCAATCGCGTTGGATAATGCCGCACCATGAATGAGCTCGATTAAGCGTGAATATTGAAACATTAACGTAACTGCCCTGTCTGCAACAGTGATTTACAAAATTGCCCTTCTTGCCTGTCGCCTGGCAACCGCTTGATTATTTAGAAATTCACCTAACATCAATTTTCTTGCCTTCGATAATTAAAATATTAATAATCTGTATAAAACTACAATCATCATCAGAATTTCTTTTGCTTTTAACATTTATCTTAAGTGCGACGTGAATATTTCAGAATTTCATCTGATGAGGAAATTGAGGAAAACCCACATTACATTATGATCGATATCGTAAGACTTTTCCGGAAGATATCTCTTACAATCTTATACGAGTTTTCTTACGATCAACTAACGATGATTCACAAAAGTTTCCCTCTCATAATTCGCCATCAAAGTCAGACATGAAAAAAGTTGCTTATCTACTCGAGGATCATAATGCATCTCAATTTCATCAGTGCACTGGGAACGAGAGTTCATTCATACCATGAAAGACATTTACCTATAATTGTTACGTCTGTTCGACTGTCTCCGACTATGCAAGAATTTAAAAAAAACACAAAAAGTTCAGGATTAGAACTCTAACTTTAAAAATAAAAAATTTTGAGTCATAGGGATAATTATACAAAAAGGAATACATATATTTAAAAAATTCATTCTACGTATGAATTAATTACGCAAAAAATAAAAGAACGTATATATATATATATATTTATATGAAGAATCTTATTTTTGAATATTTTTTAGAACAAAAGCTGTTAGAATAAAGAGAGTGAAGAATTATATTAATTTTCATATATTTTAAAGGTTCAATAATTTTTCTATCTCTGTAAAGAGACAGTTGGACAGAGGCACCATCATTGATTGTCAGAATATAAACATTCGAATATTTGAAACGATAGTACTCGCCATATTCATTATTTATTGTTCATATGATATTTAATGGCGACGTTGACTCGATGATAATTAATGTAAACCGATACGTAGCTTTCTACATCTAAATTATCGGTGTTGAATGCAAAGGAAACTTTTATAATTTGAATGTGAGTTGTACATATAAGTAATATGAATAATAATCAACAATCACTTCTAAGTTGATCTGTACTAGATACTAACATTCTATTTTAGATAATATTATTCTACAATATATATATTCAACATTATATAATTAATATACCGGGGTTTGTCTTATCACGCACGATGTCTCGTACGCGCAATTATACAATTAAAATATAAATATATTACATAAGGCACATAATTTTCATTCAGAGCCGTTCTCGTGTGTCTTTTTAATCTCTTTTGCTCACCTCGTCTGATTTTACTTTCAAATCACCGTTCTTTTGTGTCCAACAAATATGCAATGACTTCCTGTCATTAATATATTTAATCGCATGACATTTTCGTCATTTCCCAGCAAATTAGTTCGCAGAGAGCGAGGTGCACAATGAGCGAATCTTTTCGGACTTTTTATTGTGTCTATTATCTTCTAAAAATATTAATATATGCGCTGTTACAAATACACAAATATATACGTCTTTATCATGCATGAAAAACGATTCACATTTTGTCTTAAACCGACAAAGAGAAGGCACGAGAAGTGGTCTCTGCGGAAGTGGTTCATTTTGTTTCAAATTCCCATCTCATAGTTTTTTTATTTTTTTTTATTTTTTCAAACGGAATCATATAAAAATAGATTATTTTTCCCAAAGGAAAAAATTGATTAAACTCTAAACATTTTAAAATAACACTATAATACATGTACCCACTGAATTCATCGTAGAAGTCTTCGATGATTCAATAATGTCATTCTCTTATTAGTTTCTTTAAATATTTACATTTTTATTTACATATTTACAGACAGGCCATTTAAGTGATAATAATGAAAACAAAAAGTAGACAACAAGTGTCAAACAATGAGAAGGGAGATGATAATGTTTTATTGTATAACATGGTACGCGTGTGATATGTGCGCACATGGAAGAAATTGTTTGAGCAATTAAGTGATTTCTGCAGATCGAATGCATATTCACGATCAGTGATGAATGCGATCGCGCGACCAGTTCGCGGAAAGCTATGGGTGGCACGATACCAAGAAATCGTGCGATCAACGTCCGTCTGCGGATAACTTTCCATAGAAAACAAAATGGAAGAAACATGACCTAAAAGTGTTGTTTTTATTTAACGCAATGCATCTGTACAGCACAATATGCAATGTCGATATACAAAATTGAACTAAAAATTTGCTTAGGCAAATACACTAAGCGAAAAATATCTTGCATACGAGATTGTCTGATTTTATTACATATCATGTTGTAAGAACAAATTCATTTTTTTTGCATTTTACGATACTTCGGCTTAATCATTTCTTTCCGCGAACTTTCTTTCGATGCAACGCAACGGCTGTGCGCTCTGACATAATTCTATAATTATAGCAAACGAATTCGACCTCTAAACGGCCTAGCCGATAACCACCTCTAATCTCGATGATAAAGTGATGAAAAAAGATCTGCTAGAGTATCTACACAAATTTTTAAAAGGAATGAGCGGATGATGGTGGAGGGGAAAAGAGTCAAGCAGATCTGATGAAGTTAGAAGAAGACGCCAGTCGAGGACACGACCATGTATAATCTCCTTCCATGCCTCGGGTCGTCCAATGGCCGATTAAGACTTTATCTCGATGTATAACGCTGTACTGACGATCCGTGGAAACGATAAGTGCTTACGTGTTCTGCTACGTGTAGTAGATCACGCACCAATCGATCTTTCGCCGGTACATTCTCACCCGAGAAACCTACGAGTCTGATTTTTACGCCCCCAAGCTAATTGACTATAACGCAATCCAATCATTATTGTATTTTTTTTTACTTTTAGAGAAATATATCCATGTAGGATGAAACAAAAAAAAATACAGACACGATTGATGATTCAAAAGTCTACGGTTTTGTATTATTAACGTTCGATCATTGATATGCAAAAAGAAATTACATGTAGAGTGAAGATACGCTAACAAATGCACTCCTCTGCGGAAATCGATTTGTATACGGATCTAAATCATATCTCCAGGGCACTCGCAAATTAAGCTCAAAATCATAATTGTGACTTTGGTTCTCATTGAAATTACAAATTATCTGGCAATTACCATTATTATTGTTATTGTTGTTGATATTATGATTGCTGATAGGAGATAAATCGCGCTGGGCAACGCACTTCTTCATGGGTTTACTCACTGGATTATCTAGGTAAGGCTTGAAAGTGATGGCATCAGGATTATTCGAAGTCGATACGGTACTGATTGATTTTGTAACCAATTCCGTTCGAGAGAGTTCCTGTGTTGATTTCCGTTTTACAAGACAAAGAGGCATATCCTGAGGCGGTATATCGTAGGAGTCGTCCGTATCTGGAAACCTGTCGCAGAATCTTTTCGGCGATGGCATCGCATCGTAGCAGCAAGCAAGCATACAATGTTGTCTCTTCAGAGGTGAAAATCTTTGCTCGCATCCTTCGGAAAAGTTAGAAACCACGGAATTTGCTCTAGGCGAATAGCAGTACGTTTTAATCGATGGCTCCGTGTAACAGGATTCTCTTAAAGACAGCTCTTGATAAGAAGATGTCGTCGACATTGTAGTATGACTATCTACGGAGCAAGATAGATTACAGGGCGCTACGGATTCTACTTCAGAGGATGGTTCTGTTCCAGTGCTGTGTTGATAATTAGAGGGATGTTGAGAAGAAACAAAACCAGCATCGCCAAGGATGTGCGTTGGCAATAGTTCATGTTCATTCTCAAGTCGGTCACGCAACAACGAAACACAATTTGTAACTTGTCCTAGCGAAGTGTAACTTGTTGTCGTCAAATCCAATGGCGAATCATTTTGGATAGGGCCCAATCGTTGACGTGAATCTCCTCGAAGAGTGATTTCATCTCTGAGATCTGCCTCTTGTTCCAGCCATTTCTGTACCTGACGACGATTTATGCCAAATTTTCTCGCGGTAGCTCTTTGATTTCTCTTCACTTCCTCATCCCGATGGAAGGCGTCGAGAACGTCGAGTTTAAAACTTAGAGCAAAAGATCGTCTACGAGTAAAATTGCTAGACGAATTCAAACTGTTAGCCATGAGAGGATCTATCTCACTGTCCGACCAGCTACTTCTGGATCTTCCAGCGCTAGAACAATCACGAGGACTCGAAGGCAAGGAGTAACTATTGCGATCGTACATAGGATTCACCGATCCTGAACTATCTAGTGACGACCTGCCAACAGGTGGTCGTTGATAGTCAACGCACGAGGCTGCAGTTGCTTCTTCCCCTTCGTTATAGACGACCTCTTCCTCATCCAAGTGTACTTCTTCTTTAATCAACGTCTTGCAATATTCTGTCTTCTCCTGCCTTTCTTCCTCTCTCTTCTCTTCGGTATGCTGCGTTGTCTCCTCCGACTTTCTCTCTTGCTCGTGCAGGAGCGATGGGATAGGCTTCTCGGAATTCAACGGGCGGCACGTGTGTGCGTGCTCATGCGCGTGCACGTGCAAATACGGGCTTGCAGGAGCTCGTGAAGAATCAACGAAGTGAACGGACGAGGAAGAGCCACCGCTATCAACGCCTTGATGCGATACTGGTGAGAGCGGGGCCCGTGGGCCATTGGGAGAACCAATCGATTCGTACGGCCCTGACGTCGCCGCTGTGTCTGGACTCGCTGGCTCTGTCTTTATCATCGACGGCGCTAGTAGCAGGCTGTACGATCTCCCGTCGAATGAATCGACGTTCCCATAACTCTGCTCTCGTTGCTGCGGATGACGATTCGGCGAATGATTACGCGCGCTATTATTGATACCGTTCACGTTGAATCGATGTTCCTGATGTGGGGAATGGTAACTCGTCAAAGTTTGATATACCTTCACCTCGTTCCTACCACCGAATGTTGAAGCTGCTTCTGCATCTTGTTGTCTATCTCCGTTCAATAAGTAGTAATTACGGTCCTGATCCACTTGCGCGTCTGAATATCCATGAATCTCTGGTATGTGAACTCTATCTTCGCGTTCTTCGAACAAACGAAGATGTTGTTCCGATGAATATTCTTGATAGGTCACAGATGTTAAACATACGGGCACCACCGTATTGGTGGTGGTAGTTTGAAGGCTATATTGGGGCGAGGAGGGTGCACTACCATGCGGAGGATGAGAAGGTGGGGGCCCTTGCTGTGTAGTCAGCTCGTCGCCGTGCTGTCTGGCGAGGTTGAGGTTCAAGGCCGGCGTTGCTGGAATCACAGTACTCCCTGCGACTTCCGTCACAGTATCCGATTTAGAAACACTCGCAGAAGAAGCAGTTGCCGATGAGACGGTGCCAGAATTCCCATTTTCAACGCTATTTCTGAGCTGCTCCTCACACTGCAGCCATTTTTGTATTTGACGACGGTGAATACCGTACTTTCTTGCAGTAGCGCGCTGATTCTGCCGACAGTCCTTGTCGTGCCTATACGAATCCAGAACCTTGATTTTAAAAGCTGTTGTAAAGATACGTCTGGTACCCATAACGCCCACAGATTTTCGCATATTCTGCTGCTGATGTTGTTGATGCACCGATTGCTTTGAATGAATCATTTTCACTGAGTTATCCTCACTGAGCATCTCACTCACGTCAACAAGTTTTTTTTTTTTTTAATAAAAATATTATACACACATAACTTTGTCGCACCTGTAGCAATGGCCGTCACATCGACCACGAGTCCGAGTATAATGACGATGCTGGTAACAGTTACTACAAATTTCGAAACCGGCACTGTCAAAGACGCGCGAGACTACCTTAACGCTTAACATTGCACGATGCGATCTGACCGTGTAGCGCCGGAGTTCCTTTTAGGTCTTGGATGCCGTAACTAATTTTCATCCCCACCGGCGAGTCTGTCGCTGCTTCTCACTGGTCTTTCCCCTCCGCACTATCGCCATCTCTCGCTCTCTCATTCCTTCGAGTCTCTCTTCTTGCACTCCCTTGCGGCCTCTCCTCTGCGTATCCCCACTCACTCGTTCTTTAGCGCTATCTGCGTTCAACCTATCACTTTTATCGTTTTCTCTCTTTTCATCTAACGCTCGCCCCCTCGACACATCGTTGCCCCATTCGTACAGCACGCTAGCTAGTCTACCGCTGAAGGCGGCTACCAGTCATTCTTCTTTCTCTATGCCACCGACCTAACCTCCTCTCTTTCTACAGGATCTCTCGTCATTCTGCCTCGATCGCCTACCTAACTGCCCGCGAGCATAGACACCCCATGTCCTCTCCTTTCTCTCTTCCCTTTCACACCTCAGCGCCGTAAAACTCCGCCATTTTGTGGACTTACTTCCGTTAATGACGCGCGCGGGAAACGTCACGCCGGCATGACGACGACGCTCTCGGCGCCATGTTGTCTGCTGCGAACGTCTGACTGACTGCCTGCCTGCTTGCGTTGCGTGCCGCTTAGCAGTTCGCCGTGGCAGCCAGCATGGAGCCCCGATTTTTCCTCGCCTTTCTCTTCAAGCTGATCCTGTCTCCGTTCGACTTCTCAAAACACAAAGTCGAACACGCACGGAATGTAACATTCCGGATTTTTTTAAATAATTTATTACAAGACATTATGTAGCATCCATAGATTTTAAAAATAGAAATAGTATCATCGCATAAAATTTAAACGGATTGTAATCAATCTCCCAAGATCTATTCCTCGAAAAACTAAATATGTGATATAGATCAGGTCGCTAACGTATGTCAAGATATGAACATTACAGTACATGTATCACATGCATGTTTGAGTCGGCGGTAGTACAGGAACTTTTAGTCAGGTAAAGCGGCTAGTGGGTGAGGGGATTTTGCCTTCCAGGAAAAACGCTTATGGCTTACAGCTAATGTTAAGCTTATTGAATTAGAAATCGCCTGTCTTATAACTACGGTAAAGTAGAGTTGGTATTATTTTCTTTAGTTGAAACTAGAATAATCCTTCAGTTTAACATTAGGTAACCGTTATCATCACTAATATATTAGTGCTTTTATAATCTTTTTTTCTTTTTTTTTTTTAATAAAAGAATTCTACAATCTTCTTTTTGCTCTCTCTCTTTTCTTTTCTTTCATGCCGTTGGAGTTGCTTTTGAATGAAATTTTGAGGTATACGATAGCCTCTTGCATATGCGCCGTGGAATGAGATCATGTTGTTTTTGTGGCGTGAGCCGACAGTTAATATGTTTAGCTTCACGCGCCGTTGCCATGTCTCTTCTTAGCCACACGTAGGCCGCAACGAACGCATACGAACGCGCGCGGACTGCGGAGAGACCCGCGAGGCAATGACGCAAGCCATACGCTCGCATATACTTCGATGAACGAGCGCGTGAGTAAGATAGACCGATAAAAAGAAGCGGACGAGGCCTCGTAAATTTCCACGATTCGCGCCACCGGCAGAAACCAAGGATGCCAACGAATCCTCTCGCAGTTCTCTGAAGAGGCACCCTACTCTATTTCCAAGAATCACGCCGGCTATTCTTGTGCTCGCTCATCACGATGAGGCCTGCTTTTGAACACGTCCGCCGTACAGCGAGAAGGCACCTGCCTTCTCGCGCAGATCGGCCTTCGTGTAGTTATATAGGTACGACTCATCGCTCAAGTATTCCACTACCTGCGTCCGTGAAACTGAGATCTTCCTGCCGATTTACTATGTGAGCAATTGATAATATCAATTGCGTCGCAATAATGTTGGGCATTCCATCGAATAAAATTTATTAAGTTTTTCTTTTTTTCTTTTTTCACGCTTTATGTTGTATTTACTTATTATTAGTCGATCGGTTAGAGCGATTGCAGGATATTTCTTTACATGCTACTTTTTGCATTTTTCATCTAGCTATTCCACATGTCCGATCTTTCGCATTCTAGCGAGCGGAATGAAAGTATTCGTTAAGAATAATATTGGCGACAAGCATCATAAGGAAAACATCGAGTCGAGGCAACAGTAGACCGGCAGTCGCCTAGTGTCGGCACGGGACGGCTGGCACGGCTCGTCGGATTTGTCCTTGGGGCCGAAGGTAGGCGCAGCACGCAGCACGAAGACAGAAGATGTGGCAACGTAGCAGGCGCCCCCTCTTTTGTCCGCCGGCCGGTCTTGCCAGACAGGGTGTCGCCAGCTCGGTCGGCCTGGTCGTCCGGGTTAGCGCGAGGGACGAGGAAAGGGAGAGCATGAAGGAGAAGGAAGAAGGGAGAGTTTACGTACATATGTATATGTATATGCATATATACGTCTGTGTGCGATAGAGCAGCACTAAGAGGAAAGAGAGACGCACCATGGAGGGAATATCGTTCGAGCAGTGGACGTAGGAGAGACGAGATGAGGGACGAAATGCAACTCGCAGCTCGCAGCCCGTAAGAGATCGTTGTGTGCGTATTATAGGATCGGTCATGGACCTACATTCACGCAGGCCAGGCATGTTTGAAAACTCGCGTTCTTCTGGAATGTGGCCTGCGGAGCCCCCTTCGGGCAACCTCTCCCTTTCCTCCTCATTCGCCGGCCCTGCAAAGTCTCTCTCAACGCAGTGGACGTGCTCGGACGTCTACCTACGCCCTCCTCTTCTCACCCCGCCGCGCCGTCCTTCCTTCTCCATGATCCCCGTTTACCCGTCGTCGTGGTCGTGGTCGTGGTCGTGTTCGTGCTCGTACCGCTGCGCCGCGCCGCGTCGAGCCGCGGCCACCAGCTTGGCGCCCCAAATAGTCGCGTAACCAAAGACGCGCCTCTGGCCTGGCTTGGTCGCGCCAGACTTCTCGGCGCCCAAATGATGTACATCGACCATTTCTGTCTCGCTTCTTCCTTCGCACTCGCTCATGTGGCTATTATAGCCTTCGCTTTCCGCGCTCTCCTTCCACGAACTTATACATGGGAAAGGCCGACGGGAAGGAGGTTTTATAGAAATGATAAAGAACAACGAGAAGAAAAAGATAGATGAGCCAAGTCTCTATTTACCAATGTCCTGTACGAAACTTTGCCTTCAATCCAATATCAGGGTGGCCTACACCTATCTTACTCAAACAACGAAAACTAGTTGTCTACAACATAAATATACAAAATAAATGAAGATAAAAGAATACAAAGTTTGATGAGATTTGTATCGAAAATCATTAAATGTCTTTTCAACTTTTTTGTTTGACTTGTAGATAAAAGGATCAAGCTTGTTGGCAAAACGAGACAGGCGGTCGCCTACAGACGCTCAACTTCGTGTGTGTGGGTGTGGGCGATAGATTAAATCTAATCTCAGAATCGTATTAAGTTTTGTTTTAGTTGGCCCTCATTCAAAAATTTGCGTTATTATACCCTGTATATTTCATATCGATTGCTGTTGCCAAAATTTGTTTCACGCATTTAGATTTTCATTATTCCTCCCATTAAATTCTACGTCTAATATATGCCGTTAATTCCTCTTATTTCACGATTTGTCAACTATCCGTAATATTTATCGAAGTTATGTATAGTACAAGCCACAAAGCAGACAGGCTGCGTTTCTAATTTAATGATTGATATCTGGCACTGGCTCTGTTACGTTTTCGTAATACACGAAGGTTTCCGCATATTACGCTTTGTATTTATAGATTTACGAATATTTGCGTTTTGAGTTGGCATCGTCCATGTAATTCCAACAGTACAGTCGCTAGATAGCAGCGGATTCGTTGCGAAAAGAATTCGTGAACTATGACACGTTGTGAATATAAGTGCGATAAGCGACCATGGCCATTGGGAAACAACTGTATATGTGTATGCATACTCATCTTTTATCCAGAATAAAGAGCGGCACTTGTTGAAATCGTAATCGTACAGTTTATAAGCTAAATTTATTTATGTGCATACTAACTGAAAGAGCAATACACACATATACACACAGTTGCGTTAATGCATGCGTGCATACATGCAGCGTATATTACGTGTCGTGTATGCGTGCATAGCGTTGAATCTAATCATATAGCAGGGACGGATCGACTAAACGTTTGTATATTTTTTAAACTAAATTAGATTTACATCTCGATGGTCTAAACGGACAGAACATTTTAGAATGTAAATATTAATAAGGAACTCGTAGAATAATAATAATTCTTTTGTTACGATATTTTCACAAAAATATCTACCCATATAATACGTTTTATTCGAAAGACATTCTTGGAATATCCTCAGGACAATTCAGAGGATATACAGGGGTTCTCTGAACGTCCGTTGGAGGCCTGTCCAGTAGATACTTATATTTATTTTGTAATAAAAAATTATCGCTTTTCAAGCTGAAAGACATCGTATGAGTAAATTTATCTAATGCATAAAGTTATTGAACTAGTGTCCCTGATTATGCAACGCGTATACGTGAAACGTTGCGCGTTCAGTGAGATTCGAGAATCGAGTCAGCCCGCGTTGATCGAGTGTGTAGAAATATACCTCCTCCGTAGGCGGTCGTGCGATGGCGCCTACTCGTGCGCATACCTGCCTACCTGTAGCCCCGAACAGGCTAACCGCTCTCGGCTCTCCGCAACGGGCGCAACGGCTCACGAAACTCTCGTTTCACCGAGATTCCTCCGTCCGTGCGTCACGAGAGATACGCCCGTCTCTAGTCTCTACGCGTATCCGTTCGTTCGGTTCGTCGCGCGCAGCCGGTAGCCACCGCAAAAGCGGACAATCGAGAAGCGAACGAGCGAACCAGCGAACCAGCGAGAAACACACAATGAATGAACCGACGCGACGGACAGACGCATGGACGGAAGAACAGATGCACGGACGGATGGACGGACGATCGGTCGATGAAACTCCGTTGCGGAAATTCCGCAAACAGTGAGAAGAAATCTTATCACGCCTGTGTGTGGACATTCATCATCGACACACGCGCGTACGAGAGAACTCAACCGCGGTGCAACATCGATGATTTGTTTTTTTACGAGTTTGACGTATACACGTGTATATACACGCACACGCACTAACCTTTATCTTATCATTGGCGAAGGCGGATCGAGGTTGACTGGTTGTTTGCTATAGTAACGAGACTCGACGATTCAACGCTCTCGCTCCCTCTTTCTCTCTTTTCCCCTTATCCTTCTATCGAGAAAGTAGAATTCCACGAGGGTGAAACATATATATATATCTATCACCCCACAATTTCGATCGTAGGGGATTCACGACGGCGCGAAACGCGCTGCAATTCCGCTCGAACGGCGATTTGCTTTATCGGCCGAGCAATTAAAAAAAAAAATGATACGCGCGCGGTAAAAAGATGCTGTTTTATCCGTGGGACGCGTGTTATAGATGTCTCTAAAATGGACTGGTCGATCGATATTCTCGCGCAAATACAGCCGTTACAAAAACGTTAAAAGAGCCTAAAGAGTGTGAATAGAAAGAATGCAATCTCATAATAGCGAAATATTAGCAAAAAATAAATATAAAGTTTATGAAATTACATAATTTTTTTGCGTTTATGCATAAAATGTATAATCATATGAAAGACAAACGTTGAGTTTAGAAAATAGGGACTCGCGACGTTTATCGAGACGTTTATTTAAACAAACGCAGTTGCTC